ATATATATTCACACTATCACACTAAATATTTGAATAGTAGCATATTTGTGTATGTATATTGCTTACTCTGTTCCAGGGTTTCCTGTGGCCTCACACTTCATGGGGAAGCTCTCTTCGAAAGGAAAGGCGATCAGAGAGGCAGGTGAGTGCTCTGTAATTGTGGGCAGCTGCTCCACTAGATTAAGAAACAGCCAGAGAGAGGAAGTGCTCAGTAGATTATGCATATAGGAGGAGAAATGGTGGCATGCAAATGTGAAATGGCTTTGGTTAAATCGTAATGACTTTCCACAATCAGATCAACTGTTTTGATCAATTAGATATTGAATCATTGATTGTGTTGTTGGCCAAAGAGTGAGTTGTTATGAGGCAATGGCAAATGATCCGGTCAAATAATGTCAGTGAGAGTTTGTTTGTGGTTTAGAACAGGAAGAAACTAATGGCTAATACAGCTTGAGTGTAAAATTGGATATGCATAATCAAAATCATGATGGAGTGATGGTATGAGTTACAATTTGACAAATGTAAAGTGGTTTGCTGGCTCTGTTGTTGGAAGTTGTCCACTATGAAAAAAAAAACACTCTAAAAATCATCTAAATGCATTGTTTTGAGGGAACATTCTTGTTAACATGTCTACTCTATTAACCACAACAACAAAAAAGTGTTTAATTTGTTTCTATGAAAAATAACTAATTTGAATGAGACTGTTCACAAAAAGTACATTTTTTTATAAGATTGTATGATAAAAGAATACCATTCAGGATGTACCATAGTAGTACAATATTATCAAAATACCATCAAGTACCATCAAGGGACTTGAATATGATAATTATGAAGTACCATGGTATCCCCATCTGATACCATAGTATCAAGGCAGTAGTACTTCATTGTAAATGTCCCCAACAAAAGAGCAAATCTCTGCATTTATGCATGATTTTTAAAATAAATCTCATGGTTGGTGGATGATAATGGCCTCTATGGATGGAAGTTTCTAGTTCTATGGATGGGGTGGCATTGCAAACTTACTGTTCACACGTGCTAAAACTAACAAATCCACCGCAGCAAGAAGAACACGAAGAACACAGAGAAACAAACGTGCAGGGATTTGTTAGAACCATATAGATATTACTTCTGTTGAACTGCTAACAAATAATTAATTGACATCAAACAATTAAATACAGGTCCATGTTTGATTAAATTAACGCAGAAGAGAGAGAGAAAAAAATAAGAACATTGTGTTCCCCCTAAGATATCTTTCAGGCCCTAAAGATATATTGTGAATAATTTAACAGCAACAAAATACACTTTTATTTGGTTTCCATGGAAACAGTGAAATACATAGCCCTAGCAATAAATTATACCTGCTCTCAGCTTGAGTGAACCTGCATACAAACACCCAGTTTCAAACAGATTAGTTGTAAGAACAGTGTGCTCACTATGGAAGCCTGCTTCTCTCTCTGAGTAAAAAATAAGCAATTATGTGATAAATGTAAAAAAATAAACAAAAAAAAGTGTGATAGAAAAAGTCACAATTATGCATTTTTAATATACTGTATGCAGTCGTGTTTGTGAGATGTTAAGTCCCAATTGACATGAAGCCACAATTGTGAGATATAAAGACAATTGTGAGAAATAAAGTGGCAAATGTGAGATATGAAGGCGATTGTGGGATATAAAGTAGCATTTCAGAAACTGCCTGAAAAAAATAAATTGTGGGACATAAATGAGACATGAAATCACAAATAATATGAATATGAAGTCTCAGTTGTGGGATATTGTGAGATAAGTCACAATTGTGATATATAAAGTCGCAACTGAATTTATATGAAGTTGTAATTTCTGCAAATGGAATAGCAATTTAATTTCAAAGTCACAATCATGAGATAATTTCACAATTTTGAGACAGAATGTTGCAACTGTGAGATATAAAGTAGAATCTGTAAGGAATTAAGTAACAATTAAGTTAAGTTTGAAAATAAAGTTGCAATTATGAGAAATTAATTCACATTTTTTCATTTTTTAAGGTGAAAACAGGCTTCCATAGCTCAATGTTCTTCCAGAAAGCATAAAAACAGGCCAGATTGTGCACACAGCAAACAATTAAACAAACAGTACTGAAAATCTCGTCATATAAACAGGTAAGACATTACTAGAATACTACAGAAGAAAATACATAGAACAGGAAGTCATTTATTCTACTTACCTTCAAGTGGAATATCCAGGGCATTACTCTGATACCTGCAGCTCATATTAAGGCAAGCACCCAAAAGGAGGAGGATTTTCCGTAGTAACCGCATGACTGGCCAAAGCCTCAGAGGAGAGCGGAGGATGACAAGGAATGCTGCAGTTTGCCAGGAGTCAGTGCATCTCACTCCAACACAGTCTGGGGTCTCGCTACCTGCACAAAACACAACACAGATCTTACTGGCACCCAGACTTCAGCTGCAAACAAGAAATCATTGCCACACACATGCACAACCATGTGTGTATAAACAATACACAGACTTCCGAGCGACCATATGATTACAGTCGGCCCACAACATCACATATAAAAACATGCCTGTCACCTGCACAGACACAAAGACTTGCATATACTGCATGTCTCCTGCTGAGTAACTTGCGTCAATGTCTATTCCAACTTGTATTTACTTGAAATGCATCTGTGAGAGGAATCTCCATATTAAAGCTCTCTATCACCGAGACCCTGGAGATATGAATTGTATTTCTGTAAATTGTTTGTCAGTGTATGTGTGGCAGGCGCATTTCTTCCCTCCGTTTCCCCTTCGTAACGCCTAATACGAAAAATGAAACCTTAACAAAAAATAAAAGGAATGGAGCCCCCCTGCAGTTATGGTAATGTGCAGCAGCTGTTGCAGAAATTATTCTGAAATATTATGAATTCATGGCACTATAACAGTGACAGATTTTGATTAGCTGGATGCAGTAGAGAGAGCAGCACCACACCGCTGTTAAATCACAAAGCTTGCAGATGTGCTTAAATATGCAGTTAGAAATATGTCGCTTTGTTATACCAAAGTGGATGAACTTTGAGTTAAATGTCACGTTTGCTGCCATTAAAGTCATCTTGCACAGTCTCTTGTGATGTCATGTGTGGTAAGGGATCAGTAGTTGCTTTAACCTTTTGGAATCTGGCGCCAGCGAGACATCTGGCTGGAGACAAATCGAGTTCACGCCCCTTTTCCCTTCAGATTCATAACAGCGCTGGCAATAAAATGCTGCAGTTGATCGGAGTAACTTTAATGGAGGTCACCTTACATGGTGTACTGGGAATCAGCCTTGTACTTCCAAAACTACAATGCAATGTCTGGTGCCTGTTAGTCTACAACACCTATGATCAGGGTCAGACAGAATCTGTAGACTTTTTCGATAGTGAGTTTGATATAAAAATATATGGGGTTCTGTGGAATGGATTTAGAAAAAAAAAAAAATGTTAAATGGAGCTGAAAGCACTTATTGGTAGCTGAAAGTAACCAAAATTGTTTGCCATATTATTTACCGAACTCACAGCGCAGGGAATGTGTGATGAATGATAAATAATAGGCTTACCAATAGTGGATTATATACGATATATAGTGACCTTTGTATGCAAGGCAAAAACGCAGGGCAAGGTGTAATGAATAACAAAAAAATGGGCATATCAGTCGCTGATTATGTGGAAAAATTTAACCAAAAATGTACAACAATATGAATAATAGGCATACCAGTAGCAGATTAGGTACAAAAAAAGTTAAAAAATTAAATAAATAATGAGATTAATTAAAAAAAAAAAAGTATTTTATTGACAGTTAAAATAAATAAAATACAATGTCACTTGTATGCAAGACAAACACGCAGACAAGGGATGTGTGTAATGGGCATACCAGTTGCTGATCATGTGCAAAAAAATGTAAGCAAAACAATTAAATAATAAATAAATACAGTAAAAAATGTGAGATTAATCGCAATCGTACTGTATGTGATACACTGTGTCCCATTATTGTGATAGTATATACATTACTGTACCTGTTAGTTTGAAGCCCCCAAGAACCAAACCATAATCTATCACCATTGTGCACCAGGCACTTGGGCTTGGGGAGTTTGCTTCAGGGGATTGTCCCTGTACTGGAATTTACTTTGTATAAAATCATCTGTTAAATGACTACTTACACAGGAAATTGTATCTCAATGGCTGTATTTCTATACAAACTTTGCAACAAACTCTCACTGGTGCTCAATAGCCGTTCTCATTTAGGTTGGAGCCCCGGGCTCATTAGGTCACTTCCTTTTTGACTTGAATTGGTTAAACACACAATAAAATGATTCAACGCTTAACTCTGAGAACAAAAGAGTACCAGGGAGGAAGGCAGATAGAAAGAGAGAAAGAGAAAGAAAAAAGGAGGCCCAAAGTTCACAAAATACAACTTTATCAGTCATTTCCACCCCTTCAGGAGATACATTTCCTTTGAAACCATATGAGGTCATTTATTCAGGCATCTAATTAAAGTCCAAAGGGGGATTTGGTTGGGGCAGGACTGTTATGTTCTCTTTATTTCAGCTTTCGGGGCCAGTCATGAGAGATAACCTCACTTCACTGCCCCTCCGTTTTAACCCCACCATCTGATTCAATCACCACCTTTTTCAGCCAGACTTCTGAAGCCCATCCTCCCCTTTATCTTCTCCTCTGCTTAACAAATCCAGTAGGAAACATAGAGGTCAAACACCAGTAAGCAGAGAAGTAATTGAATAATTGACCACTGTGTGGATGAGTCGATTCGCTTCATTCCTCAGTGGGGGCTCTTGTTTTCTGATGGGCTTGAACTCTACTCCACATGCCTGCATTTCTTCATAATGGTATTAACTCTGCCGGGGAGAGCTTTTGTGATTTAGTGCTGGTTATGGTGACCTCTGAGATGACCTCTGTGATGTCACTAGAAAGGATGGGTTTCTACACCCCTTGACTGTTATACTGAAAGGCTTGTGGCTATGGTCTGTCGGACTTGGATGCGTTTCTTGGAGCCAAAGACAATGCCTGAGGCTCTACCGCTTGCCCTGAGACTGCTCTATCTCCCACAGATGGTGTCTATCTTTAGTGGCCAGATTAAAATCAAAAGGTAAAGCACTAAGCTAATTGGATTGTGATTTACTGGCCAATGTGGTGTGTTAGGTGGCATATGTTTACCATCCTGATCCAATACAATGCACCCTAGATTTTTACTACTGCACTAATTACAATGAAACCTGAAGTGTTACACTTAGAGAATCTTTTTGTTAATGTGTTTATTTACATGAACCATCTGATGACTCATAGCTAAGTATTGGAAAAGTAATACTTTCTTATTTTGAAAACAACTGAACAGACACACTACTGAATAATACAAATAAGTTAGTAGCTTCGCTACTCTGCTTAGTTACTTCCTAACATTGTAAATCACAGTAATTCTGAGCCTCTTGTCATAAAATGTCTTCATAGGGATATTCAAGCCAGATTGCCTGAAGACCTATAAAAGAGCATTTCAGTTATAAATAAATCTGACACTTACAAATAGATCAGCATGAATCAGATCAACTCTATCCACTCGTTTGTAAGGCAATGTCAGTAAGACAACATTGCAACCAAAGAGAGCTCCTCTAAAAATTTCAATCTGCAACATTAAAAATAAAGCTCATCCCCATACAGCCTACCTAAGGATTACTCTGTAAACAACAAAGTGGGACTTTCTTAACAACTACAGCCTGCTCTTAATCCCCACATCTCAGTCTAATGATACTGGCAAAGGGTAAAAGCTGCCCAGCGTGGGAAGTTCTGTGTGAACTCTGACCTGGCATTGCCTGGGCAAAGCAGTCTAGAGTAAGAGCCAGAGGAGGAGGAGAAGATAGAATCTGAGCTGAGAGAATCAAGAGCAAGCTTTTCTCCCCAACTGACTGATGGCGTCCTGCCCCTCGCGCACTCAACTCGCCCACAGAGAAGACTCATTTAGCATGAAGGATAAGCGTAAATCAGGACAGTAAAAAAACAGGAAGCAAACTGGCAGTGGAAGGGAAGCAGTTGGCTGTTCAACCCTATGAGTTAAAACAATCATTCCTCACACAACAGGATCCGTCACTGCCAAAGCATCACCATTTATCTGATTATTACTTGGCTGTATTTGAATAAATAACCAGCAGAAATTATTTTGATGCTTACATGTAGAGATACACGATTCATCTGCACATACTGGTTATTAAATAATATCAGTGTTTTAATTTTTTTTTTTTACTTTTTTTTTTTTTTAAAGTTGGGACATTTTGTGAAATGCCACAAAATCAAGAATATGTTATTTGTTAATTCTCTTTAACCTTTACTTAATTGACTCTAATTAAAAATTCCAGCGTTTTCACTGGCCAACTTAATTTTATTTTGTAAATATAAACAACTTTTGACTCCAAAAAAGTTGGGACAGAGGCATGTTTACCACGGTGTCAGATCAACTCAAATCAGTCAGTCACATCCACACGTGCCTATGAAATGCTGTTGTAGCACATGCAGAATGAGACCTGGCATTGTCTTGATCTAATAACCATGGGCTTCCCATGAAAGATGTCATCTTGTTGGCAGTATATGTCTCTGTACAATTCCAATATATGCCTCCATGTCAATGGTACCTTCACACATATGCCAGTCACCCATGCCGTTTGCACTGATGCACCCATATACCATGACAAACATTTGCTTTGCACCTGTCACGGATTGACATCTGGATGGTCCCTTTTGTCTTTGGGACTGACAATTTGATCTCTCATTTGACTACAGCATAAATTTTCACTGTCTTTTGAACAATCTAAGATGAGCCCATTGCATTTCTTGATGCAGCTGCAGACTGTGTTAAGTGACAGCAGTTTTCCATAGTACTCCCAAGCCCATGTGGCTATATTTCACACAGCAGCATGACATTTTCTCATACAATGAGGGCTCAAAGGTCACACACATTAAACTGAGGTGTCCTGTCTTGCCCTACACAGTCTGAGATTTCTCTGGATTTCCTGAATCAAAAATTTGGCACAAAGTGGTGAGCCACGACCTGGCTTTGCTGGCACCTATTACCAATTCACCTGCTTATTATGGACTGTTTCAAAACAGTTTAACTTGGATATTTTATAACCTTTCACTTTTATTATGTCTCTGTCCCAACTTTGGTGGAGTGTGTTGCAGCCATCAAAAAAAAAGAAAAATTGTTTATATTTACAAAATACATTTAAGTTGGTCAGTGAAAACATTGGATATCTTTTAATTGTACCATTGTCAATTAAATTACTTCTGTGAAACAAAAACATTTTCAAGAAAGTTGGGGTCCAATCAACATTGGATTCCACTGATTCGAGACATTTTTCAAAACATCTTTTGTATTCCAAAATTAATAC